CAGCTCCGTCCGCGTGTACTTGGACACCGCCTCAAACATCTCCCAGCCCTTCTCGCGCCAGTACTCGTCGCCCGTGAGGCGGTACATGATGAACACCGACTCGATCGCCTCGGGCCGCAAGAGATACTTGCGATCCACCAGACGAGTCACACCAGGTGGCAGCCGCTCGTTCCGAATCCGGGCCGCGACAAATTCCTCGTGCGAGGGGGCCTTTTCCTCCTCGGCTTCGTCAACGGTCTCCACCGGTTCCTCCTCCGTCTTCTTGATGTCGTCGGGAGGCGTTGCAATGACGTGCCAGTTGCCGCGCTCCCGCTTGGCGTGGGACTTCTTGATCGAGTTGATAGCCTCGGGCTCAGGATCCACGTATTCGTTGGCCTTGGCTTTCGCCTTTTCTTTCTCCTTCTCTTCTTTGCGTGCCGCCGCCCGAGCCAATCGCTCCTGCATGTTCGGGTCCAGCGCCTTGTAGTAGGTTTCCTCGTTCCATTCGCACTTCTCGCCGTTCTTGCACGGAATCAAGGAGAAGTGCTCCGGCATGATCCCGGTCTTGGTGGACTCGTACGCCCACACGCAGCCATCCGTCAACTTGGACGCCAAATCCATGTCGCCTTCGATGCCAAACAATTTGGCACCAATACCAACCATGCCACCCACGAAGCAGGAAAGATGATCGCCGTCATAGGTTACCTTCGTACGACCAGGCTGCTTGGGCACCGTCATGGTGCTCAAGAATCGAACGTCGCGACCGCCCTTGATCATGGGCTGGAAGAGAAGCCGTTCCTTGGTTGCCTTGATGGCCTTTTCGTACATGGTGCGGTACTGATCGTTGAGACCGCCCAGCAGCATATACTCCTTGGGCAGATACTCATACGTCGAGTCAGCAAGAGCGCCCAATCCGTACTTCTCGCTTTCCGAGGCGGGGCTGGTCAAGCCTTCATGGCACTGCGCGTCGGGGGTCTGCTTGTCGAAGGAAGCGCGGTACTCGCTCTCTGAGCTAGGGTAGTTTTGTTGACGCGAGACTCCACCGTACTCAGCCGGTTGGGCATCGTCGTGCAGCGATCTTGCATCAAGAGGCACCAAAAACTCGGTGTAGCTCTGGGCGTCCGTTGGAGCAGGCCGAGTGGTGTGAGGCCTCGTGGGAGCAGTACTGGTGGCTGATTCTACTGGCACTTTCCCGCGAGGAACCTCATGATCGATGTGAGTGGGGGTCTTCTTGCAACCAGATGCGTCGATCTTCATTGGCCACAAGCCAGGAAGCTGCGTGTTGTCCTGATAAGCCTCGAGCGCATTGGTAATGCGCGCAATAGCGTCGTAGTACTTGTTTTCCTTGGTCAGCTGTGCCAGGCGGGTGAATTCCACAGAAAGAGAGCCGAGTTCAGCCAACACAGCCTTCTTGTCTGCGCGATGCGGTTGCACTGTGTAAAGCCTGCATAACAAGCACGTCAGCTATACATAATCCAATCTATAGCACCCAAACAAAAAACTTACGGGGCCCATTTGTAAAAGAGGGTTGGCATGCGGTTCGGCGTGTCAAAAGCGCCCATTATAATCTCGGCGAGCTCTACGGCCTTCTCCAGAAGCACATCGTACTTATGTCCGGAGATATCGTATGCACCGAGCAGACCTCCCATATAACGGATGACAGTCTCGAAGACCGGAATGTCCTTCTTCTTGGAAGTGGTGAAGTCGATGGTCTTGATAAAGTCGACCGCAAGGGAGAACTCCTCCTTCAGGCCCATGAGCCAAAGGGTATCCAAGCCGTCCACGAGAGTAGCTCCCCAGCCATTGAACGGATCGCGATATCCACCCCGGAGGGGCAGGACCTCATCATGGCCCATAGCGGAAGTTTTGTAGCCAGTCCAAGCGTGTTCGAAAGTGGACCTGATCGTCGATAGCCTCTCGAGACGCTTCATCTTGTCGGCGGACGATTCGTCTTTGAAATCAGCCTGCAGTTTAGGGAGCACCTTGGATTGACCGGCGGGCAGCTGGATCAAGTCCTCGGGAGCGAGAGGATATTGCTCGGGCATCTTCTTCCAATGGGGGTGTGGCCAAGTGGACTCGGGAGCCTCCAGTACCAACTTCCCTTTATCTTCCGAACCCAATTGGGACTGGGCCGGACCAGACTCGCCTTCATTCTTGTTCCCCGAGCCCGTTGCATCACTCGACGTGTTGGACACTTCCGCGGAGGTCGACGGGCGAGCATCAGATAAGGTTTCGGTAGACGGCTCTTTCGCTTCTTCGGAATGTTGATCGGAGCTCTCGGGGGAAGAAGGAGGAGGAGGGGACGGAGGGGCATCTATGGGAGCAGAGTCCTTGAGGGTGGTCTCGTCAGCGGGGGGAGGGTTTGGCGAGAACGATGCAGGATGGCGATCAACGGGTGGCGGCGCACTCCAGGCGGAGGGACCCTGTTCTCGAGATCGAGCGAAATGTATGAAGGCGAGCACAAAGATGGTCGCGAAGACCAGGAGGACCCGGTAGCGTCGGGCTCGAAACATGGTAAACGAATGCAACCGAGAAGGTAGTAACACAAGACTCGGAGAAAACGAAAGGCAAGAAACAGAGTTTGAAAGGGGAGAAGGAATCCCCCAAAGCGAAAGTCAAGTCAAATGGAAAGAATAATATAAATGATCCCCCAAGAAGTGGAGATATTGAGAGGGGGGTGCGGGTTATACGAGGGAGGAGGGACACCGCAAGGATCACGAGATCCCAAGGGGAGTCAAGTTCCTGCAAGCCGCGGGACAAGACTCGGGGCGAAAATGAATGGAGAACACTCCCAATCAATGAGGAGTGGATTATAAGAATTGAGGAGGGTCAGATTTCTCTCTAACGACAGACTGGGCTGAGATCCAGCATGCAACAAAAGTGGACCAAACGAGTGGAAAGAGAATGAATCAATCAGGAGGTGGGTGGGAAATGGCGAAGAGTTGACCTGTTTTAGGTCATGATTGATTTCGCGGGAGGAGAAGAGAGAGAGAGAGAGAGAGAGAGAGAGAGAGAGTAAGAAGGAAGAGAGCGGAGTGTGAGAGAGAATGGATGAATTGGGAAAGACAACCTGCAGCCCTGACCGGAAAGGGAAACTATCAGGTGAGAAAAGGGAGAGAAAAAGGTAAAGTGTAAAAAATAAGAAGTAGAAAAGAGGAGAAAGGAAGCCCCCCCAAAAATAAAAAGAGGACAAGTCTAAAGATGGTGGGAAGGAAAAAGCACCAACTAAACACCTGCACGACAGGAAGAGAGAGAGAGAGAGAGAGGGAGAGAGGGAGAGAAAAGGTAAGAGCACGCGTGAGAGAGAGACAGACTTGAAAGAGGGGAGGAGAGAGGAAAAAGGGCCGACTAGTTAGTAACTGGTAGGTTTAGACCTCCGCCAGGGACTGGCCAGACCGCGCGATGCTCCAATAAAATGAATGAATTGAGATTGAAGAGGAACTAAAAGAATGGATGGAAACTCGCCTGAACCGCCTGCGGATGCAACCGCCGCTCACATCCAAGCAGAAAGCCATTAAGCCCAGAGCCCTCAGCCAAGATTCTGGTGCTGCGCGCGTGGAGCCCTTAGGGGAAAGTTATCGCGGTCGGAAATCGCTTGGATCAGGAGTCAAGTTTAAGACCAAGTCTGTTGCAGTTTGCATTAAACTATTACTTGTTCACTGCACCATCATCCATCCATCCTGGCTGAATAATGATGAAAGGAATGACAATGACTGAATGCAGCAGCAGCTAGTCAACTATCAATCGATGATGATGATGACCGGGGGTAAGCAATACTCCGATCCCATCATTGGCATCCCATGTCAAGTCAAGATTGTCAATAGTCCGGCGCATTGCACCCCAAAAAATCAAAAATCAAAAATTAGAATGAAAAAAATCCAAAAAACCTAAATGATCGAGACCAACAAAAGGAGATCCCCGGATCCGCGACGGAGGGATCAGCAGGGAGATTGAATTAATAGCTGCCGGTCGGTCGGGCGCACTGGTTCCAGACTTGCAGGGGGGGGGGAAGAGAAGAAGAAGGAAAGACAGATGGATGATCGACTGTCAAGAACCGGATTGGAATGGGGAGAGCATCATGATTATAAGATCGACTAACAATCCACTTCATGTCTCTCTACAATTGTTATTTTCAACTGTCTACGTATGTCCCTACGCAATTCGCAGTATGTTTTGTACGTATACCTTCGACATTCATGGTGACTGTTCGCTGCCAACAACAATAACAACAACATAATGCGCGTCGGCTGCAGGGGACGGACTGACTGGATCCTCTTTTTTCCTTTTCCATTTTTATTTTTCTCTCTTTAGTGTGAGTTGCTAAATATAGCCTGTGATGGATCCCCCGTAATTACCGAGACGGGCGGGGGGTGGATAACACAAACAATCACAAGGAAGAGGAAGAAGGAAGAAGAAGAAGAAGAATAATAATAATGGATGTTATTTCCCTCTCGTTCCACATGTTATTCATTCATTTGATTCTTTGATCCATAATGGTCAAAAGTTATCAAGGACTAAACTAATAACCTCCCCCTCCTTCTCATCCATGGATACTCGTCCCGGAAACCCGGAATTTATCCAGGGGTGAACTGAACTTGGTTATCAGCTATCGATAATCAGGTGACTCCCCTAGTACTCATTGTTAGGTTGTCTGTCACCGTCCAAGTACGCAGGTCTGTTCTTCCGCCATCCGAATTCAGCCAAGCTAATTTTTGATTAATAAATGGGCTGGCTTCTACTCGTGCCGTGAGTTTCCGACTAATCTAGACTAAAGGCTTTTTCTGCTGTCTCCATCTCTGGAGAATATTTTTGGTGTCTTTACTCTCCCCTGACTTGGAGGGGCTTTCACAGCGGGGACTGCTGTTTCGTATGTGAGGACCCTGAAACGTGCTCTTCTCGGACTCTGAACGAGCAGACAGACCCTGAAGAATATGGGTCGATTCAAGTAAAAAAAAAAAAAGAAGAGCAGTATCAGGTTATAAATAAATAAATAAACATTCCGTTTCTTGAGAAGTAAAGAGGGAAAAAAAGGTTTGGTTCTTGGATGAATCGGGGCAAAGGTCCGGTCAGACAGACAAGACCCTGGTCCTTTTCTTTACTACCTTCCATTTAGCCGGGACTAGACTATCATGCATACACCCCGACAGAATAAATCAGCTGGACAAAACCATTGTAAACTTTAGTACTACTAACCATTGCTGCAGGTGTGATCACTAGCGTGGCTAGCCTATCCTTCACTCTACATACAATATCCTTCTATTGGCGTATGACTGAATGACTGCCTTTTCCAGTGGGCTGTCTGGGCCAGGATTCCCAAGGCTTTCCAGGTAATCAGGACTCCCTACCGTAACCATGTGCACCGTAGAGGCGACTGAAACCTGACACCATCGCCATTTATTCTAATTATATACCAACTGTCGTCCGTCCCCGATTGTCCTGGTTAACTTTCTGAAACTGCTGGATGAGCCCCAGAACACCCGCCCCGCCAGCCAGGGCGTCGACATTCTCGCCGCCCTCGTCTTCTTCTTCGACCTCATCGCCTACCAGGTTCATCCGCCATGACTCCCCCAGGTTACTATCACTGGTGAGTATGCCACCCCCGCTCGACCCGACCCCGGGCGACGATTTAACTGCACCACGACCTTTGCCCGCCGGAGGATCTTCATCTTCAATGGGGTCGGAGATGGTGGGAGGTGGTCGTGAGGCCCTGTAGCGCGGATACGGATTAGCGCGGTGCGTTGACCGGAACCCTGATGCTGACGGCTGATGGTGCGGGTCGAGTAGCATCGATGGTGCTGGGGAGAGATGGTCGCCCATGCCAGCGGGTCCAAACCGAGGAGCGCCATATGTAGACTGTTGACCCATCAGCCCAGCTGCTGCCGGCCGATCTCCAAAATTGCCCATCTCAATGGCAGAGGGGGATCCGAGGGTCGGGAATGTGGGTGGAGGGTGGAATTGTCGCTTCGTTGACGGATGAGCTCCGCGCGGATTAGCACCATAGTTGTCCAAGAACCCGTAATAAGATGCAAGCATTTTGCCATCCTTGGTCGAGAAGTAGTCCGCCCGAAGGTCCTGCCGGGCAGCATCCCGCCGACCCGTGTCCCCTTGCGAGATCACGTTGGTGCCCTTCTTGAAGTCGAAGACCGCAAAGGAGCACAGGTATCCCATCCCATCGACGTGGACGGTGAATTCTCGGAAGAAGTCAATGAGACGGTCACTGCACTTGGGCAGACTGAACCAGAGGATGAACGGTGTGAAGATCATACTTAGGATCTCCTCCAGGAAGATGACGATCTTCATCTGATACAGCACGGCAAAGTCCTTCCGGACATCGTCACTATGCAGCCGGCCCTTCCAGTGGCTTGGGAAGTAGTGAGTGAAGTTGATGACTTCAAGGAGCGCGTACTCCGGATCAAACACATTGGTCTCTTCCGGAACCAAGCCCTGCGCGACAGCCCAGATAGAGCCAAAGACACCCAAGTAGAAAAGCACGGTCCGGTCGTGAGTGATCTCGAACCCCAGAAATAGCTCCGGGTCCACAACGGAAGCCAATGCCAATACCGAGGCCAGTGCCCCAGAGACGAACGCCACGAAACCCGCAAATTGCACCATCTTGTCTTTGGGGAACTGATCCACATAGCGGCTCGCGAAAGGGTAAGACATATTGACACGTCGTTCAAACAAGTGCCATAGCTCGTTGAACTCACGGAACTTCCATTCGGCCAGTGGCGTGTATTGTCGGGATCCGATCTGCGATGGATTCTTCTTGTATTCGTTGAAATAGCGGAAGAAATAGTGCATCATAAAATAGACGACAATGAAGGGGGCTACGAAGATATTCATGATGCCTGCGAACATGAAACGCCGTCGCAGCCCTTCACTCAGGGCCCGTCGATGAGTGTCTTTCAAGAACAACGTCCGCACTTGACCCTGCTCGTTGAAAACATAATCCATGATGCAGAGGTTGATGTTCCATTCAAGCGTCCGCGAGAACAGTTGCCTGTTCCGCAGGAACGGTATCGGAAGCGTCAGATCTAGTATATCTTTATTTATCAAGGCAATCAGATAGTTTTCTTTGCGCATCAGTCGGTTCGCGATATCGTGAGCATCCATGCGCTGCTTTGATTGACTCCCCATGAACTTGCGGTTCTTCGCAGAGACCGCACCCGCAGTCGCAGGGTTGGAGTCCCTCAGAGTCATCAATCGGCTGACGACCTCTTGCCAGGATATTGATTGAATTTCAGCATCTGATATTCCAAGCAAGTAGTGATAGAAGTCATGCATGTGCTTCAGTCTTCGGATATCTAGCAAGTACTGAAAGGCCTTGCCAATCCAGAAGAACGAAAGCAGCCATAATAAGAAGGTAGCGGACATGGACATTTGCTTTGTACACTTCTGGATCAGAATGTCGTCCAGAGTTCGACTCCCGCGTACCTTGTGGTAGTCAATGCAGTTAGTGAGGAATATGCTGAACCCTACGACGAATGCAAAGGTCCTGAGTTCCAGGCACATGTCAGTCTCGATTCAGTATCGATAATTCAGGTGAAGTTGAGAATGGGCAAGCGAGACTTACAAGAGACTCAAAACCCTGTTCAACAGAATCGACCAAATACCGTTTCCAAGAAAGTATGTGTAGACTTCCTTCAAGAAGTTATCCAGGTTTTCCACGTTTGCCCACATCCACAGTGCCTTCTCTTTAGGATCTACCAGTGCTAAGTTTGGATATCCCGCTGACCATAGACTTGCATGATGGGCCCTCCTATTGTTGTCATGTAGCGGTAATCGTTCGCGGGCGGTTTCCCAGTGGACTCGGTCGTCTCGAGGCGGTGATCTGGGCTGATGATCAAGATTCGGGGGGTCATTCGAACGGGGAGGAGGTGGGAGCTTCGATTTCAGAACATCATCGTCATCTTGGTCTCCTTCCACGAGGAGGGAGGGAGGAACATCATCATCACTATCATCGAACTTGTGGCGCGGTGAAGCTGCGTGTATCCGACCAGGGCGGCTAAACTTGCGGCGACGAGAACCGGCCTTGAGGAAGCCCTCCTCGTCCCTTTTCCTTGGTGGGCTTCGGGGGAGAAATGGATCGCTGGGACCGGGGGAGTCATCCCTCCCAGCATCTGCTAGAGCATCTTCCAGCTCACGGTCGCTGAATCGGTCCCCATGTTCATCGTCAAACGCCATTCCTGCACGTTCCTCCACGTCCGAGCCGTCCGAATGATTGTCATGTTGTCGGATTGTCTCGTACACTGACGGGGAGCCGTTGGGAGGGAGGAAACGCGATAAGATATTGGAGGTCATCATCTTGGGCTAAGATACTAAGGAAGAAGTAGATAATAGAATCATCAGTACATTATTAACGGCAGTCAAGCCGTGTTCGAGGTCACTTCAAGGCCATCCAGCTAGGGTAAACACGATATATAGAGAAAAACCACTCGGGATGGTTCAGAATCCGAAAGGGCGGTAGTAGTTCGGGAACCTAGAGCGAGGATCGACTTGTTCCGCCTGGAACAGTACAAAGAGGAAGGATCTATGAGCGAAGCAGGATCAGTCTGCCTTTGACTCGATCAGAAAGTCAAGAAGATGATGAACGATGAGCCGATGGACCTCGTAGTTATCTACTGAAGGAGGTCGGTTGACTTTGGTCGGTAGGATCAGGAGCAAGTCCCGGGGGGGGGGTGGGAGGAGGAGCTGATGACCGCCTCGTGATAAGCTCCGATGATGCAGGCGGTCAGTCAATCAGTCACCTCGATAGCACTAGTCCTGCTGCTCCGAAGCGGTAAAGCAGTTCACTCGTTGCTCCCTGAGCCGATCACATTCAAGCCTAAGGCATGAAGAAAAACAATCATGTGATGGATTTCGGGGCAACGTTGATGCGGAAATTCCCAATAAAGCATGATTACGTGCTGTATGTCACATGATGGGATGGCCGAGTCATGGCCGGTGAGTCTGTGACGACACGAGTCAGGCCCAAGTTGGATGCTGGACGGGATGGGCCGCCGATGGGGACCACTGATTGGCTCCAGCGCCAGCAATGCTTGAGCGCCGGTGTGGCTCGTGCGGCGTGGGTTTCCATTCTCGAAGCTCTTCCTATTTGCTAGATTGCCCAGTGCCCGGCAGGGGCTCCTTCCTTACTGGTAAGTAGTCAAGAGTCTAACATACGTGGTGTATCGTTGGCCTTTGGCTGCGTTTTCCCTTTGTCCCACCCAAGACATAGAAGTGTTGTCCTCCAGAACTCCTCATCCTCCAGCTGCAGTGGGATTGTTGACCAGGTGTCCGTTGGCTGCCTTATATGTGGTTCGATGAAGTCCATGATTTCCCGAATGATCCACATGTTGGTGAAACGTTCGCTTGGGTGAAGACTGTACTCCGTACCATGGACTTGAAGTTGTTGTGTTTCTTCTGCGGACCGAGTGACTCTTTCCTTCTTCGGCCTGGTCCTTCAAAAATTAATGCCAATCTACTACGTATGAATAGATAGATACTGCGCTGTGGTTTGTTAGGACTGGCGGTGGCTTTTCTCCCCGTCCGGTTCTGGGATCAATTGGCTAAATTGGAAGACACCCACGATAACAATTACTACACAATTATTCTATCCAGTAGTGCCAATGAATAGTCTGGTAAAGGCTGGGCAATGGCTTGACTGGTGACGGCGGGATGCCGACAACTAACTAGGCTACAATTGCAGCAGATGGCGTTCTGCACACCGTTGACGTGAGCATAGTCATGCGTGGTTAGTAGCCACAACTCCCACTACACTGTGCTTACTGCTTTCGGAGTGCACCAGCAGCCATTGCAATATAAATGCAATCTAACGTCGGGTAATACTACAGGGGAGGGGAGGCGGGAAGGATCCCAGTGGCGATAATCATTAGTGACTCGGATCTGACTGCCGTACCCTGTTGGGATCTGTTCTGGAAATGGTCTGTCTGATTATTGTACGACCGTCTCTGCCACGATTCGATTCTGTACGACTTCTTCGGTGCCGATGGAAGAAATAAAGAACCATCACAAGGTACCGAGTCGATCAGTCAAATCCTGAAAAGGGTAAAAGAAGGCAAGAGCACGCGAAAAAGCAGAAGTAATCGGGGTAGAACAGAAACAAAAAGCGGGAAACAAAAGTAATTTACCACTATCGGGGCTGGTTGTACATTAGCCCAGAGGTGGTGCGTTCGTAGACCTTTCTGGAAGGTCCTGATAATCGACCATATCCTTGACCCGCTTCTTCAGCCAGAGAACAAAGATACGTACCTCGTACGACTTCCTACATGGCTGATCTGTCCCTAGTGTCTGGGCATAACATGAATTGGTCATGGAAATCGGGTCGGGTGAAGCGATCGAGTTCAAGTGCACACCGTTCCTATAGAAAGAGATTGGGTTGAACCCATTCCCGGCTCAAAGGAAGAAGAGCCTGGCTTGCTTTTAAGCCGGGATTGAATATGACCTCCCTGAAACAACGCCTCATATATGGGCTCGAGTGTGTGCAGAGGAGCGTGTTCATAAGGAAGATCATAGACAGTGGCACTAGCTATAATCAATGTCTTATTATAAAGCCGTTGCTTTTGCACCGTGCTTCCCTATAGCCAGTTCGCAGCCAGTCAATCATTTTAACCACACCACCTACCACTTAGTAAGGAAGACTGGGAAAATAGGAGGTTCAAAGACACACACGCCTTCCATCATCAAGTGGATCCCAGCCCCAGAGCCTGAACCCAACAGTTTTTCTTTTCCGTCGATTTTCCCTTTTCCTTATTTCAGCTTAAATTTTCGTTCAACCCTCCTCAATCCTTAAGGTTTTGTGCTTATTTTTTTTTTTTTCCTTTTTTAATTTGATCTAATTCCACTCGTACTAGCCCGGTCAATTGACGACTGAAGAACAATCGCTATTTTTCAATTTTCATTCTTTTGCTTGCTCATAGTACAATAAAAATATAGGGTCAACTTGCATATAGAACAAACCAAGCAGGTCAACATCAGGCCATTGATCGATTGGTCGGGGAGAAAGTCCAATGAGTGGTTCAATGACTCCATAACCGGTGTTGCCAGTTACCCCGTCAATTCGGAACCAAAAATCACCAACGCCTTCGTCCCAGGGTAGTAAAGAGCCAGAAGGGCTCGTAGGCCTGCCTCTGCCTGCCTTACTCCACGTAGTGCCGTGTCCTACTTACTCTATAATTCTCCTCCGCTACTGATATCACTCACTAATACCTCTACTATCATCAATCGGAGAGATCATCGGGCGTTTTGTCCAAATTCCCCTGCATATTCTGGAAGTTGGAAGGGTCTCTCCATTGTCGTATCACCAGCTTTTCCTCTCGACTTGAACTCTTCTAGCCTTTCAGTATCCCTGATCCCAAGTGAAACGTAAGTAAAGAGAGATATTATTTCTAATTTTGTTGGTTCTGTTTCTGCTCCTCCTCTCCCCAAAGGTCATCGATATACCTGAGTCAGGAACTCCTCAGTAGTATCATCATCATCATCGTCCTCTTTTCTTTGGCTTCCTCTCAATCTCCAATCTCCCCTCCCTCTCTTTGTGTCCTATTTTTCCCACTTCTCCCCCCCGGCCCGCTTGTTCTTCAGCTGCACGAAGTTCAACACCGCCTCCCGCTTTCCCTCCGTCGCGGACTGACTCCATCCCTCGCCCTTCTTCCCAGCTGATCATTGACTTTCCACCCATTCTCCCTCTTTTTCCCTCTCTGGTCCCTCGCTTACTTCCACCCACCTTCTCAACACCACCATTTACCACACCTTCTCCCTCACACTGCCCCCTCCGACTAGACCAGACCACCCCTCCGTCTGTCGTACAGAAAATGCATCCATGCTGATGCGGGATCTGCAGCTTTCACAACGCACGTCGTCTGGGTAATTGGCTTCACCAATCCGTCAATCATTCGAACCAATTATCCCACCCTTTTTCCATCCTCCCTAGTCGTCGTTCCTCCCCCTCCCCCCCCCGACTACGGATTGAATTCCCTCTCAAAACAATTCAAAAGTGAAAGGAGGGGATTCTTTTATTCTACCAGGACAATTAGATCAATTCTAGCGCATGAAGGTGCGTCTATTCTTTCCCCTCACAAGCTTTCTTGTGTCAATTTCCAATGATATCACGCCGCGGTTGGTCGAACCAAACCTTTGTGCCGACCGATCTATCCACCGAACAGCTGCTGCTGCCACCACCACCCCATTACCACCCATTACCACCACCCACTGCTTGCTACTGCTGTGTTCTTTCAAACCCGCTTGCTCCCATCATCACTTCCTTCCCATCGAGCTAACATATTCGACGATGGCCTTCTAGCAGCGACATCGCGGCTGTATTTGGAGTATAGGAGGGTTGGTTCCTTGCCGCGCCTACTAGCGATTTTCGCCCTGTACTTTTCTCGTCCACATCTGCCTGCGCTTCTCCCGTTCGCTCACTGGTCCCCTACTGCCACCGCCATCATCGTCACGTCCGTCGAATCACCACCATACCACACCCCTCCCCTGAACGAACTATCGTTTTGCGACCGCCCCCCCCCTCCCGCCTCCTCTCACCGTCGCTAGCACCAAAAACGCCACGGCTTCGACCGAATGTGCGACTCTAGCTCCCTCCCTCACCCCGGACTCCATGCGTTCAGCTAGCGACCCATTGGACGAAAGAGACCCTCAATTGTCAGAGGACGGTTGCGCAGCGTACGTTGGGTGTCAGCGTGCTGCAAGGTAACAATCCCGCAGTGTATCACCAGTTTATGTGTCTCCGCCCGTTTGCCTGCGTCCCGTGTGCTTTGTAGCGACCTCTCCCGAGTGCCGCTGCTACCGGTTCCGTCGTGCGTGGGTGGAAAGAAAAGATGGAGCCGGAAGGGTCAAGTGGATTCAAACGGAACTCTGTCCATCAGGGAATTTACAGTCGTCCTGTGGAACGGCGGCCCAGCAAGAAGTCTTCCTCCAAGGACCGGCACGGGATGGTGTATCCCGATAGCTTTAGGGACACGGGAATTCGAACAGTCACCCCAGACTCTGAGGCTGGCAACCACTCACCTTCCTCGGAGGCGGAGTATCTCGCATCAAGTGCGGCAGCTTCCCCTCGCCCCGCCACCCGGACAAGAGCCTCCGATCGAGAATCCCGTCGCGACTATCACTCTTACCACTCGGCAGGCGACGAAGAAGATACACATGTGGAGATGAAAAGTCAGCGCGCACGGTCACGGACCACCACCCTAGATGATCAGCGCAGCGAGATCTCCCCTAACACATTTTTCAGAGCCCGGAATCGCCTGGGATCTATCAACACCGCAGTTCCACAACCCAAAACCCCGGACGAGTCGTCATCTATTGGCTTTCCGTCCATTCAGTCCCCCACTTTTTTCAGTCACTCCCTTGGCCGCCAACGGTCAAGCAAGCCCCCAGGGGGTTCGAGCTTGGTGACGAGTGTATCGGCCAATCAAACCCCCTCGGCGCTGTCGACTACCGATGCGTCCAAAATCCTGCAGCTTATGAAAACGACTTGTGGAAGGATGCACGGCATTCTTTCGTTTCGGACTGCATCAACAACGGCTTGGTCCTCGGGCTACTGCGCCATCAACGTCGCCACGGGCAGTCTAATATATCAAGCCAAGGGGGAGCCCGCACTGGCCAAGACTTTAATTCCTGATCTGCGTGGCTGTCAGGTTCGCTCGCTGGTCGATCCGGAACTACGGACGAACTACCTCAGCGTCTCCACGTTTACTTCAGGACTCGGTGTCGAGCTAAGACCCCATGTGAGCGAAACATTCGATTCCTGGCTTGCTGCTTTGTTGTGCTGGCAGCCAATCCGCCCCAAGGGCGTCCAAAACAAGATGACAAAGCCCCAGTCGGTGGCAATTGGTGACCGCCGTTTGGTCGAGCGCCGGCGAAACTCCGAAAGTACAGTACAAAAAGAGGCAGCTATCATTAAAGTTGGCAAGATGCTATTATGGGACAGGCCCAGTGCGTCGGGTGTTCGACCTTCCTCTGGCCGCCGAGTGTCAACATATCGCCAACAGAGAGCTCTTTCCTCCTCGTGGCTGAGAGTCAGCTGTACGTTGCAAGAGAATGGTGCCTTCAAGCTGTATACCGAGTCCGACATTACACTTGTAACATGCATCCAACTTTCGCAACTCTCCCGCTGTTCCGTGCAGCAATTGCACTCTTCGGTCTTGGAAGATGAATTCTGCATCGCCATCTATCCTCAATACGCCGTGCACTCTGCATCCGGCATCACTCGACCAGTATATCTAGCCCTGGAAAGTCGAGTCCTATTCGAGGTATGGTTCGTGCTCCTGCGCGCCTTTACGATTCCTGAGCTCTATGGGCCCGAAACTTGTGCAGAAGATGACCCGAAGAGTCCGTCCGACGCCGCTGCGTCATCCATGGCAGATATGTTCCGAATCGAGCGCATGCTCAATGTGAGAGTCACGGAAGCTAAGCTGCTCCGAAACAAGGCCGCGGAGAAGGCCCCTCGAAGCCGGAAGCAGTCACGGTCACATAGCAATTCAACCCCAACATCTGCTGTGAGCGATTACTACACAGAAGTACTTCTTGATGGGGAAATCCGTGCCAAAACTGCTGTCAAGTATCGCACAGCCAACCCGTTTTGGCGAGAGGATTTTAATTTCAGTGATCTTCCACCTGTCCTGTCGCAAGTATCGATTCTAGTAAAGACGATCAGCCCGACACAGAAGGATTGGACGCTTATCGCACATGGCTCCTATGGCCAGGACCATAGTAATCCGGCACGTTTGTTAGACGACGTTGAGCTCTCCTCCCAGGATGCTACATTCGGCAGGGTCGATTTGAAATTGGACGATCTACAGCCTGGGGTCGAAACGGAAAAGTGGTGGCCGATCTTAGATGATAAAGATCAGCCGGTGGGTGAAATGCTCATGCGAGCGCGGATGGAGGAGACGGTCGTTCTGATGTCGCACGAGTACACGCCGATGTCGGAAATCCTACATTCGTTCACCAATGGGCTCACTATTAACATGTCTCAAGTCATGTCCTCGGAGCTGAATCAGTTGTCCGAAGCTCTTCTAAATATTTACCAGGTGTCAGGCACGACTGTCGAGTGGATCTCAGCCTTGGTTGAGGATGAGATTGACGGGCTGCACAAAGAATCGACAGCGAATAGACTGAGGTATACCACGAGGATTCACTCCAACGATTCCCGGGAGTCGGGCCAAGAAAGAGAAGTCCTTGTGAGAGACATGGGCCGTACTGCTACCGTCGAGGCAAACCTGCTTTTTCGAGGAAATTCGCTTCTTACCAAGGCGCTTGACTACCACATGCGTCGCTTAGGCAAGGAATACTTGGAAGAAACCATTGGCGAGCGACTTCGCGATATCGATGAGACCGACCCGGAGTGCGAGGTGGACCCTTCCCGTGTACATCGATCGGATGATCTCGATCGCAACTGGAGGAACCTCATCTCCCTAAGTACAGGGGTCTGGAAGTCGATTGCAAGCTCTGCATCTAGATGCCCAGCCGAGTTGAGGCTCATCTTTCGGCACATCCGAGCTTGTGCCGAGGACCGCTATGGCGATTTCCTTCGGTCAGTCACATACAGTAGTGTGTCGGGCTTCCTATTTCTGCGGTTCTTTTGTCCAGCAATCCTGAATCCCAAACTCTTTGGATTGCTCAAGGGTAGCTATTCTTCCCCCATCCCACTGATCTTCATGTTTCTAATGCGCGCAGATCATCCCCGCCCCCGCGCCCAACGCACATTGACGCTGATCGCCAAGGCCCTGCAGGGCCTGGCCAACATGACTACCTTCGGCAGCAAGGAGCCTTGGATGGAACCCATGAACAAGTTTCTGGTCAGCAACCGCGTCGATTTCAAGCAATTCGTCGATTCGATCTGTGCTATTCCTGCCGACCGTCCCGCACCTATCGTCACACCCTCCTATGCCACCCCCATACAGATTTTGGGTCGTCTGCCCCCGACATCGCGCGAAGGATTCCCTAGTCTACCCTTCCTCATTGACCACGCGCGAAGCTTTGCCAATCTCATCAGTATTTGGCTCGAGATCGCACCGGAGCGCCTGGCGGAAATGGAGGAGATTGACCCAGCCGTCAGCAAATTCCATGAAATGGCCGTTCGTCTGCACCAACGCACCAAGGAATGTTTGAGCAGAGCCGAGCAGGCAGAGCGTCCAAATGGAGGCCTTGAGGTCAAATGGGAGGAGCTGGTCGATGCCATGGAACGATCGGTGACCTTTTACGAAGACAGCTCCAAGCCTACGAGCCCGGCCACAGAGGCAGCTATCGCAGGGTCGACATCCCTTACGGGCAGCCATCGCAATTCGATCGGCTATTTCGCGTCACGGCCCTCTCTACCGCGTCGATCTACCGATTACGCTCCTGAAGCCGAGGATGACACGCCCCCCAGTTCCTCTTCTGCCACCTGGGACCAAAGTAGAGTCCCCTTCTCGATACCGCGATGGGCCGATCCCAGGGACAGCACCGGCAGTTCGAAGAACTCTTCCACATATTCGCTTGAATACCCCGAACCCTCGAAATCGCGCAGATCTAGCATCACCAGGGAGACAACAAGCAAGTACCGGTTCTTCGATTTCGTGCCCCCGTCCCGCCGCAAAGCGAAGGATCGGGAACAGGCTCAGCATTCGCGTGAGGAACAGCGCAACGAGTTATGACGCCCAAGTCGCCTGGGTAATACCTAGGCTTGCCTCGCTCTTGAACTCGTGCAATGGTGTCATGGCCTATCTGGACCATGACGATTCCAAGCATCTATCCCACATCTGTGGCTTTAGACAAAATTATTTTACCTTCTACGGCTGCCCCGCCTTCTCTACGCCCCATGAATGTCATCGGGGAAGCTCTTGCAGCGGTGATGCTTGCATGTTGCGGGCAGCCATTTCTGTGTACAACATGAGAGCTTGATTTCATGTACTGAGATCCCTGCATCTTCTGGTGTAAATTTTTCTGCGATTACATTTCTTCTCCTTTTCTCCTACCGCATGTGCCCATGATTTAACGTTCGTTTCTCCTATCACCCTCTTCTGCTGGTTTTATTTTGGAAAGCATTTGTCATGGTGTTGATACCCTGCTCTGATGGCTGTTTTTACGTGGAAAACAAGAGATCCTGTGAGCAGAGTGCCGGATATGATCTTCCATGGATGATGTATGGATTGTGGGCAGCAAAAGCCTCTCCCTTCTTGGGGGTGTTTTTGCCAGTCTACAATTGCAATTATTGTGTAAATAGCGTCTACCTTTCCTCTGGGCATAGATGAAATGAGTAACTCCACCTTGTTAGACTTGTACTTGAGTACCGCTTAATGCCGCGCCTGAATATACTACATAATACTATCAACCCAATCCTGAAAACCACTCCGATCTCATACATACATACATACATCCAACCCCTCCTCACCTACGCAACTCCCTCCCTACTGTCATGACAAATGACTCTACATCCACAAACAAATCTTCCCACTTGCCGTACCCCCCGCAACCCAATTCCTACTGCGATGAAAAACAGCCACCGCTGGCACAGCCGTAATGCCCTCCCCGCCCAACTGCGCCAACTGATCCCCTTCCCCGCTATAGATATCCACAAACCGATTCATGTTTCCGATGCAGAAGCGCTGGATATGCGATTGCGGGTTCTGTTGCCACTGGGGGCGGAGACTATCCCCAAACAAACACTCTGTTAGCACATCCCTCCTACTTCCCAGAACACATAAAGAAATAACATCATGTATAGGAAACAATGAAAAAAAGGGGGGAAGGAAAAGAACAACATACATAGTAACCCATCTCCCCGTCTGACAATTATGTCTCACGACAGTATCCGGCCCCAACTCATCCTCCCCAACCGCATGACCCACATCCCAGCTCGAAAACCCCTTCTTCTTCAAGTCGTATATCTTGAGCGTATCGTCATACGACGACGTCGCGATCTGCCCCGCGCTGTTGAATGCGGCATGTGAGACGGACAGTCGACTGTAGTGTTCTCCTACGGGAATAGGTCCCTCATCTCCATCTTCACCTCCCGCCTTCTTGCTGCTCCTCCTCTTGGGCTTCTGCAGCATGCGCAAATCCCATAGTCGCATCGAGCGGTCCAGACTCGCCGTCGCGAAGTAGTGCGGCTGCGTCGGGTAGAGTGAGAACCCGCCGATTTTCTTCTCCGATAGTTGCCATGTGGTTACTGTTCCTGATGCTGTGGGGTCGGTGCGGATGTCGTGTCGCCCGAAGGCCCCGTCTAGGGTGGTCCAGTAGAGGACGTTGGGGTCGTCGAGGGCCATGTCGATTCCCGAGATGGGCTCGTCCGAGGAGGTCGATTCCGGGGCGTATTTCTCCACGCTGGTGGATTTCTCGAGGTCCATGGCGCGGATCGAGCTGTCGTAGCTGGCTGTGTAGAGGGTTGTTGGGGCGCTGGGGTGAATGTGCATGCTGCTGATGGTTCGGGTGTGCGGTTTTACGGTCGTTAGGACGGGGTCTGGGTCTTCGGAGTCGGAGTCGTCTTCGTCGGATTCGGGTTTGATCGAGGTGGGTTTCTCTTGGGAGGCGTCCAGGATGCCGAGGTGGCCCATTTTGTCGCCGGCGAAGATGAGGGGTTTGGATTCTGTCGGGTGGAAGGTCATGGCGTAGACTCGTTCGGGGGTCAATTTGATGCCTGTTGTGGTTGTTAGTATTGTCGATGGACGATGGTAGTAGGGGAAGAGAGAGAGAGACAGACGACTAGGTTCCCACGCATCCCAGAGCGTCAATCCATTCATTTCCTTCCTCAACGCCTTCAAATCCTTATCTGTCGTCTTCTGAATCTCATCATCGCCAAACGTCCGCTGATACGGTATCGCCACACCCTTGGTCACCACATCCACTCCGATCAATCCATCCGCAGGCAACTTCTGTCCGTTTACCATGATATCACTAAACGAGAAGTTGTCCGACTTGCGGACCCGTTTCGCGCGCTCCGCTTCCTGTCGCGCTTCGTACTCTTCTTCTGCCTTGCGCTTCGCGACTTCGCTTTCCGCCGCGATGCCCCTCAGTCGGGATGACATGCGCCGCGGCTGCGGCGTCTCCTCCTTGACTTTCTTCACGGGAGTCTTCTTCTTTGTCCGCGACTGGTCCTTCGCTGCTGGTTTGGGCATCTTCGGCGGGAATAGCCCCGAGGACTGCGCCTCCATGGTCAGCTTTTTGAGTAGCGCATCGCGTTCGGCGATGTTGGCTAGGCGCTGCTTTTCGAATTCGGAGATTTCGTCGTTGCCCATTTTAAATGGTTTCTCTCCCTCTTGCAAAGGGGGAATGTCTGTAGTAGAGAGTGTTGCTAATTGCAATGACTGTTGAATGGCGCAGATGGATAACTTTGCTCACGCGGATCAGAGGCGCGTTCGGAGCGCCGCGTGGTCACGTGGCTATTAATTGATGGGAGAAACTGCGCCGAGCGGGAGATTCTCCGACGGACGACTGGTTCAGCTTCATTTCGGCAGACCGGTTCACCAATTGTTGATCAGTGGGAAGGTTGCCGTGTATTTACAGTCTATTTTGTATCGGGCTGTAATTCGGCATTGTCAACACAATGAGTGCCCGAATCTCCCGATCCTGGTTGGCGCTCGCAACTCGCAACTCGTCCGTCCCATTCCTGTACCAGACTCGCACCCTCACTGCCGCATACCTGTCCCCTCCATTCCGCCAGCAGTACTCAACCTCCAGCGACGCCAACGAGCAGGACCATGAAGCAGCAACAGCAACAACAACAGCAGAACCAGCACAAGATGATAAGCCCGCCCGTCCAGTCCGGAGGAGCTTCCTACGGAAAAAGGCCGCGGCCGTCACTCAACAGCAACAGCAACAAACACCCACTAAACCAGCTCCGCAAAAGCCCGTCACCATGACCAGCACCGAGAAGCAAATCTTCGGCAATCTGCTTGAACAACTCAGCACCGAGCGCCGCCAGCAATCCCAGACCGAGCTCACCTCATCCACACCATCCGCATCATCATCAACGGAATCGAAACCCACCCTCCGCGACGAAGAAATGGACGAGATGGCGCAAATCTCCGCGATCTTCGACTCCGTCCTGCAAGACATGAAAGAGAAGCGCCAGCGCAGCGCAGCGCGCACCGAGCGACAGGAAAGCGAAATCGCCGTGCGAGAACAGAACACGGCTATCGAAGAAAAGCTCCAAACAGGCGAATACACCGACGACGAGCTAGCGGAGATGATATCCTCGAAACAGATCACCATGGATAGGGCCATCGAGGCTGTGATCATGCGCGAGTCCGTCAGCATTGAAGCCGCGCTCTGGGACGCTATTGATAACCGTCGCGGAGATACCGCTATCTGGGAGGTATGCAAGGAGCGGATCTTTAATATCCTGCGACACTTGGACGATGAGAAGAAGGGTCTTTTGGGCGTGAAGGACGAATCGACTTCGGAGAGTTTCCTCGCCATTCCCCCTGTCGTTCCCACTGAACCTGTCGTCACGGAACTATATCCCAAGATGCTCCTTGTCGCGTTCAAGCTTCTCAATCTGCATTATCCCGAATCACACCTGATCAGCCAGTTCCGTGCGACGATTAAGTCTATGGGTAGGGCGTCTGCTGTCCTGGGTGGGTCCACGGCTCTGTATAATGAGTTTATCTATTTCTATTGGCGCGGATGTCATGATTTGCCGGGTGTGGTGTCGCTGCTGCGCGATATGGAGGTTACGGGTGTGGAGCCGAATCGGCGTACGTGCGGTCTGTTGCATTCGATTAAGAATCAGAGGGATCATGATTTGAGGAATCATTGGCGGAAGGCCAAGGTGGAGGGCAAGCAGGGGAAGTCGAATCGTGAGCCGTGGTGGGATTTGGCGCCGAATCGGAAGGCAGTCAGGGAGTTGTTTGGGGATGAGGGGTGGGTGAAGAAGCTGGAGGGGAGGGTGAAGGAGATTGAGAGGGCGAGGGATTATTAATTGACTTGTATATTATAGTATATATGTATGGTGCCGTTGAAAGAGATGTGAATGTAAGTATACAATTGTATCACCGGGAGTAAATATCAGTAAGCAAAGCAAAGCAAGCTAAAAAGAAATGATGTTAATAATAGTACATCCTACCACCGCCCCATACCCTCTTCACCATCATATTGAAGGGTTCAGGTACCGGCTACAGCTTCAACCCCCAACTCCTCCCCAATCCCACAGCAGTCGACCCCAAGAACCCCAAACACTGCTTCACCCCAGACACCTTATCCTTCACAGCCCTCGCATCCGCCCAGCGGCGACTCAAAAACTCCTCGGTATCGCGCAGCCCCGCGCTCGTATCCCGCGTCATCACAAACTCCGACGACGCATACACGGCCGCCACAGCCATGCGCTTCGAATACCACGATGCATCGACGGAAGCGTCGCCCGCTAGCGTGAGGATATCGTCCGAGAGAGCGTGCAGTTCGGATAATGAGAGGGGGATGTTCTCGCCGAGGGACATGATGGCTAGGGCCTACATGATCATTAATCATTAGCATATACACGTATCACTACTAGAATGAAGATAGGAAGTGGGAACATACATCCTGCAACTTATCCTTCACTTCGATATTCATGCGCAAGCGCTCCATGATCAGGACCTTGATCTTGTCGTCCACGGACAGAGGTCCCTGCTGGGATTTGGATTGCAGCAGCGCATCATTCTCCACCTTGGAGCGGAGGAGACCCCGACGACTCGCCAGCCAGAAGAGAATCAGGTCGAATTCGCCCCGCGGGAGAAGTTGCACCGAGACGTCCAGGAAGCCGGCGTCCCGGGCTCCGAGGGTTAGGGCGTCGCGGGTGAAGCCGTGGGTCGGGACGTGACGGAGAGCGGAGGAGAGGATGGTCGTTTGGGAGTTGGAGTATTCGTG